CCTGGTGGGCTGAGCTGGCCACACACACACAGACACAATAAATAAATGTAATAAATAAAAATAAATATTTTAAAAAAAAATTCAAAGAGGACAGATCTTTTCTTTTAGTCCTTTAATTAGTCTAGTTTCTATACTTGGTCCTTTTCTAATGTGGAATAAGATGCTATTTAATGTTGTTCTTCCATAGCTAATTTTTTTTATGTATATGCTTTAAAGGTTTTTTTCTTTACAATATGTTTTGGACAATTTTGTTTTTGTGTACCTTAGTATGATTTTATTGAAATTTCTTGTGCAAAAGGTTCATTTTTCTTGGAAATGCGGTATTATAACGAACTAAATTCAGAAATTTTAAATCTTTAAATATTTATTGTCTACTCCTTTCTACTTTGAGAATTCTAATTATATGAATATAAGTTTCTTGGTCTTGATACAGTGAACTATTGTGACTGATCTGTAAATTCTTCATTTTTATTTTGGACAATTTTTATTGTTATATTCATTTATGTTTGTAAATAATTTATTTTTGATTTTCAATCTATTAAAAAATTAAAATAAAAAAAGACAAAGCAAAAAAAAAAATTACCATGGAGAAATTTTCTTGCAGGACTGGAACTCATTGGAGATATTTATATCAGAGGTAAAATCAAACATTTCTGCCCAGAGAACTACACAAAAGAATTGTGGATCACACTGTTGACAAGTGAATGGGCAGGCACAGTATCCTAAAAACCCACTATGACAAGAAGAAAACCAAAAAGATGTCAACTGTGGCTTGCATGAAAGGACAGGAAAATAAAACGTATGTGCTGTATCAGTGTAAGCGATACTTACATATGGAACATAGAAGTTTGTGTCAAAACTACCTTGGTGTGACAATGGAAGCAAAGACTATTTTTGTTGCAGTGTTTACTGGTATTTTCATTGTAGTTCACAAAGGTTTTTATTTCTGATATTCTCTCTTAGGTTTTGTAAACAAGCACACAGCTGATGTGAAAAGGTTAATGTCTAGTCTAAGCAACTCAGTACATACTTGATATTATATTTTATTTTACCAACATCTTAATTCCCTGGTAGGTGCATGTTATAGAACATAGTAGGAAGCTCCTGACAAAAGAGGAAGAGAAGTGATAAGAGCAGGCTACCACATAGGAAAGTTCAGCACATGTGCTATCAGTATAAGTAAGACATGTGCATGGAACATGCAGGGGTCACGTGTGAAGATTGCCTTGGACGTAAAAGTTGAAGCAAAGGGGCTGGTGAGATGGCTCAGTGGTCTAAAGCACCTACTTGGAACAAGCTTAGTAAACCA